GTTACACAGGCCGTTATATTTTTGAATGATTGCCCTTTATGTAGGTCATCCATTTAAAATTAGTGGGAACCTCTAATAAATAAAACACAAACCAAAAGTATATCCCGTCGGATTACTGCAAAAACAAGATAACTTACATTTTTAGAGTTTCGAGAAAAACCTTTTCAATGGTTTAAAATTAAATAAAAAATCAATGAAAGCTTCAAATTGTTTAATAAACAATAACTTCAATGAAAAAAAGTATTCAAAACATAATTAGTCTTCACAAAGTATAAACTAAGAATCTATCGATTGGTAACAAACAAAAAAGAGAAAAAAAAAGTCACTTAGCTTATTTTAGTTGTCTACATACAAGGCATAATATTCAACGCCTGTGTCACTATCTTCAATGGAAGGTTCAGGTACCATGTCTTTAACATTATTGGATACAGGTAGATTGTGATAATAATGGTGAAATTCATCAGGTGTAGCACCTAGTTTGCAAAGTTTTAGTAAATCTTTCTTCTTGGCATTACTAAACCCTTGCAATTTTTTGTAAGTATTTTCAGAGCTGTTCGCCCTTTCAGGCATCCCTCTGCCGTGGGTTGGGTTATTCAAGCAATGCGAAAAGCTGGTGTTTTGGTGTTGTTTCCGTAATTTAAGAAGTACTTTTGGTCGTTTCATCGAGCGTCAGCATCCTCGCTCGTTATAGCTTGACCAATTAATCATTCACCACAACGATTCGGGCATCACGTGTTATCATCTATTTGTTTTTAAAAAACGGGTGACGTAATCATCTTTTTTGATTTCGGACCAATCGAGAAGAGTGAGAGACAGTTCTAGGCAAAATAAAACAAATGGCTTGGGAAAAATGTTGAAGTATTTCTATAAATAAATTCAACAAAATAAGTGTTCTGGCCTTTATCTTGTTTTGGCAGAAACGCTATTAGGAACGGGAATAAATACATTTAGCAAAAATAAGTTATATGTCTCTTATCTGGTTTTGGTAGACACACTCTTAGCAACTGAATACAATGTTATGATTCTATTTTGGTATAAATGTCACTCATCTTGTGTGTGCATATTGTGAATGTATTCATATGGAGTTAGTTTTTATTGACCATCCGTTTATCATTAATATAGACTTCGTTCACATTTGTTTTGTTTATGCCGTGTATTATTTGAACTATTTTTCAGGCGAAAGTTTACTTAACTCGAAAATGCCGAAATTGGAGCTATCTCTTTTTGTAGTAACCCAATGATCCAAAAGTTTATTTAAAAATTGGCGTGATATTTAGCGCAGCGCGACCTATGAATATTTTCACGCTCAAGATTTTAAAAACAGAAACCTATTGATTTAAAAAGCATTTTTTTACTAATAGTGTTTCGGGCCGCAAAAAAAAACTTGGAAGGCCGCAGGTTGAGTATGGCTGATTTAGAGGATACAGGAGAGCATCCCATTATATTTTTTAACTAAAATGACATAAACAAAAAATTGTTTAATGAATTTTCTTTTATGTTTTAATACGTTAAACTCTTCTTCCAATTATTTAATTGTATAGTTTTTAAAATCGATCTAGAAATTACTGAGCAGTTAATGTTTAAAAAGAAAGCTGCAAAATGTTTTAAGACTGGAATATCACAATATATGTAAAAATTATTGTATTTAACCTGTTTTGTTTTCTGCAAATTAAACTTGTAATTTGAAACATTTACAAGCTATTATAATACAGAAAAATATTATGGGACACTCAATAATATAAAAAGTATCTATATTTAAAAAAATATGGCTCCTGCGTTATGATATCATCAATATGTTGGATTACTTACACTCTTAAAACACTAATAGTTTATTGACATCACATTTTGGTAAGATTACATTATCATCTCTGTTATGTAAAATGTAGTGTCCGACCGAAGGTTCGGTTTCGACCAATTTCGGCCTAAAATAAGGGTTTCGGCTATAGTTTCTGTTTCGGCGGAAAACTGCAGCCGAAACCGAAACAATTTTCGACCGTGCCGGGTGCCCATTCCTACACAGTGCACATGTATTTTTTGTTGTGTTCTAAGTGAACAGTCTTCAGTGCTCCTGGCCAAATTTATTCAGATCGGAGGAGAAATTTAATAGGTGAAACCGTGGAAACATTATTATTTCTAGCCTTCAACATTAGACTATTTAATTATGAATAATAATTTAATTATAAGTAACAAACGTATTTTATCATCTGCATTCGTTTTTTTTTAAACTTAAATTTTTGTTTTCGATAGTTTTTTAACCTTTTTGTTACTCCATGACCACGTATTGCTACTTTGTAATTCATTTACTTTTTTTATTTCAAAGTAAATGTTTATAAAGTTATTCTAACAAAAATAACTTAATGTATCTTACCTCACAAAATGTTGCATTATAATAACATTGAAATTAATGTTACTAATACACATTAATTTTTATCAACCGGTTTTACAAATTATTAAGCAAAATGTTAAAATATCGTTAAAATAAAATTATGTATTATTTATAATGCAGTTTAATATTTATTATTCTTAGGGCTCCTCTTCATGTTGGCCAATGCGCTGGCAAATATTATTGGCAATATTCAGGTAACTTTATGGTCCTTACTTTGAAAATTTCTATATACATAATAAAACATAATTAAATGAAACAAGAACTTAAATAATTGCAGAGTTTAAACGTTAAGAAATACAAACTTTATCGCAAACAACCAAAATACAAAAATTTAGCTAAACATTAAATTTCGAATAAAATTTGCTTTCAAATGAAGAGCCACACTTTACATTAGGTCGCTAGGGGGCATTAAAGTCGAAAGTAATGCAATGAATAGTCAAATTGCCGAATTCTCCTTAAAATTATCTTTTCAATGACATGTCATATTTGGCACTTTCCCTATTTAAATTGCATTGGTTAAAGTAACGAAGTGGAGGGGAATGGTATGTCCTTCAAACTAAAATCGATCTGTCCGACCGTTTTTTAACATCCATAATATTAATACCCAACACCTCCATGTCAAGTTTTCGTTGGGTCACCTTTTATAAAGAGAGTATTAATATTAAACAAAATTAACTTATAAATAATAATCTTTAAGGTACCATTTCGGTAGGCGCGACAGACGACCGCCGACGTGACATACGACCGCTGACACGACCGAGAAGTGTCGCTTCACATCTAAAATACATACAATTATATAAAACACATTTCGCATGGCGCGACAAGACCGAGAAGTGTCGTGGAGACCGTTCTCGGTGCAAAGCTTTGATGCATATCGCACTCGAGGTCACTGTCCTCGGCATTTTTTTGGGGTGATTCGGTCGGAAATTTCTTTCGATCTAGGCAGCGTTGCCAGATTTTGAAACAGTATGGGTAAAAAAACCGTAGATCTGAACAGTAGATTTTAATAAAGGGGAAAATAATTATAATTTGCAGTGTAGTAAATAAAAAAAACAAGTATATAAGAAACGAAAAATAAACTTTTTTCTGCCCAAATTAGAAAGTAAACAAAGAATAAAAACATTTTTAATACATACTTAACGTACGGGAAAAAACCAATGAAAAATAATAAGTACCTACTTCTTTTAGATCAGTCTGAATTAGATAATTCAAAATCGTAGTGTTTGGCATATGCATGTTCTTTTTATGATGCCCTATTAATTCTTTGTTTCATTTTAAATAAAAACAATGATTATCTTGATGTTTTTTTTTATGGAGCCAACCTACAGTAGTGGATGCTTATTAAGCTGCTTTTACTGCAGAAAATTTACTAGAGAAAATATTGTTTACCCATTTGCTGAAGAATGAGGCAAACTTAATAAATTAAGAACAAAATTTGCTAGAGACAAAAACAGTAGATCTACGTGAAAATAGTAGGTCTGGCAACGCTGATTGTTCCCTCGAATGCTTACGAAGGGTAAAATTTATGCACCTGTTGTCCTACTCGACCTTGGGGTCGGTTAAGTGGTCGCTTGTCGTCTGACGCGCCTACCCAAATGGTACCTTTAAACAAAATATAAATTAAATGGATCGATCCCATAATATTATAAAGAAATACTGAGTAAATAGTTTTGAAAACTTTTAAAACCAGTTGTTAAGTTTGAAACGAATAAATTGGCAATGAAATTGATATTTTTGTATTTGATTGTATGTTACTCTTTCCACTTCCTAAAAAAAGGTTCCCCATAAAACAAGAAATAGTAAACAGTTTACAATAAAAACCTTTATTAAATTTGCAACTTATAACATGTACCAATGACCAAGTCCGGTTCTGTTTATTTTTAAATAAACAAATATGGCCGTCGATAGAATCTCTAGAAATTAAATAACTTACCGAAATAAATGTAAGTTTACTTTATCGGCCCCACATTTCGCACTTTTATTATAAGTACAGCTTTTTACAACACACCTTGGTATTTCCAAAATTTATGTCACTAAAATATCAATTTAATTCTCGATGATTGGTCGGTGTGAATAGGTTAGAAGTGGGATCATGCGCAGTGTCTTATGTTCTATCTATGATTTGTGTAATCGAAGGTAATAAGCAAGTACAGCTAAAATTTACAATACGAGTTAATTAGTCTAAAATTAGGATTACAATGATCTCTTTTATCCAAGGATTACACTAAGATATTGCAAATTTCAATAAGAGATTACCTTAAACAAGTTTCGGTTTCTGTTTCGGTTTGGCCGAAACTAAGAAAGGAATCGAAATTCGGTTTCTGTTTCGGTTATAAAACCTTGTTTCGGTCGGACACTAATCAAATGTTATGGCATCTTTAAATGAATTTAACTACAGTTTCGCAAGATATAATGTTTTCTTTACCAAATGATATGTCAATAATTATTATTAAAAAAAAGGATAACTGGAAAAAATTAAGTATATGGATTTTTGTTATAAATAATCTCAATTACCCATACCTTCCGGAAGTGCATTATTTTCGGGTACCTCCTCTATATATAAACATTTTTTAGAGAGACGCCAACAAAATAAATTCAAATATAATTTTTATAGGGCCTAGATTATAGATGGGTGCAAACCGGCACGCTTAAAACTGATTCTCCTATTCGTGCTTTGAGTTGGAACCTTGAAGGTACTCGTTTGCTAACAGCTGGTGCTCATGTACAATTGTGGCATCTCAAATCGCAACCAGGAGAAGAAGATCACAAACAATCTACCGTTACTTTTACTTTGGGAGGAGGGCACCAAGATGGACCGGATGATGGAGATCCTCACGAGGAACCTGATAAACCTCAAGGTAGATAAAACATAATTTTTAATGGTTGTTTATATTTCTTGTTTCATTTGTAAATTGAATAAAACAAATTTCTTTTATATTTTCATTATTTACAGATATTAGGTAAATAATTATTTATTCATTTATTTATGGATTTTCATGACCTAGAAAGAAAAATACAAAATTAATTAAACTAACACGATTTACATACATATTTATAGGTATATTGCTATCTAGCTGGTGTATTCACTGTTAAAATTAACAACCACAGACATGTAATTAAAAATGTATGCTCCAAGGATTCCATTTTGGACCAGTATCGTTTTCTTGATTTATTAATGATGTAGTTTTGTATTTGGATTATATAGTAAATGTAATTTGATCAATTCTACTCTAATACACTTCTAGCTCTTAAGCTCTTTATTGTTAAATTTTGTTTCTTGAATTTCTTTTTTTTTGTTATGTACCAAAATAATAATTTTAGAACAAGAACAGACTTCTTATCAATGTGTTTGGAAAGCAAACACCGCCATTCCTGTCCAACACTTGGCTTTCAGTCCAGATGGCACCCTTTTCGCAACTTGTGGAGAAAATGATAGATTGGTTAAAATTTGGTATGAAAATAGACATGGTAAGGAGAGATTTAGTTAATGGTTTTATACGACTATAGCGTGTTAATTTTACAGTTTTATTCACTTCAAAAAGTACAGACGGTCCTTTAGAGTTGGATTATGGATTCGTGTACATTGCTCATCCCAGGGCTGTGACTCATATATCTTGGCGAACCACCAGTAAATATATGCCAAAGTATGTAAATGTTGTTAAATCATTTTTATCCTACTCACCAAAATCCTACAATTGTGTATTAATGTATTACAACCAATTACTTTTAGGGGTTCAGTATCAAACATGTTGGTTACTTCTTGTAAAGATAACATATGTCGACTATGGGTGGAGACAGTGCTACCTGAGGATGGACTAGTCAATTTATCACAACTGGATCCTCAAGCACATCATCCTAAATTCAGGACACACAGACACAAACATCGCTTCATGCAACGATTGAAACATATGAAGTAAGAAAGATTTGACATGTGTGCTATTTATTTTCATGAGTTTATCAGCTAATTTGAAAACTTTTATTCATTATTTCAGAATATTATTTAACGCAGGACAGTTTGAATTTATATTAATTTTATTGAGAGCGATCTTTAAAGGAAAATAAATAAATTTATTGAGGTAAAAATTAGTCTAAAAACTCGTGGAACTTGTTAATTTTTATTTGTGTCACTTGTATGTAAGCCTTCATAGTAATGTCAACTTTGCACTTTTCAAATGTTTTCAGACCTATTCTTTACTATTTTAAAAATCCCACCAGGATGTGGTGTGGGTAAGTCGGAGTCAAGAATTTACTTTTTGGTGTCTTTTGAAAGACTGGCTTACGAATTTATTTCATTTTGTGACGTTTCTTATTTGCTCATCTCATTCAAAATGCTTACTTAACTGTTATATTTATATATTATGGTCCATATTTGATAGGGGCTGTTTATGAATTTTAAATTTTGTATCTGGATAAAATAGCATTCATTAACAGAATAGTGTGAGAGCAAGCGACCGCCAGATATAACGTTATAGTACTATTTTTCAGGTATGTGTATCCTATAAGAGGTAAGAACGTTTAGGTGTTATGAACTGAAGGGGGTTCGGTAGATAACAGGTAAATTTTGAATGTTGATTTAAAACTTTTAACACCCTATATCTTGGTAACTAATCCCTTTAAGGGTTCATGTTCCTATATCAAAATTCATCAATTATTAAGAGCTCTCTGGGGTAGAGTGTTGTCTTGAATATACTAATACCCCATATAACATTTTGGCCCAATATTTTTAAGTACTTGAGGGCCTGTTATCTGCCGAACCCTCCCCCATCCCCTCCCCCCGTTGTCAAGGTTCATAACTCCCAAAAGTTCTTACCAGGGGGGCTTATAACATATGCGCGTTATATCAACAGGTTAGTGCGCAACACATCCGCGCATACCAGTCCGTTTTACAATAATAAAATTATATTTAAATTTAAAGTACACTGAATAATTGAATAATTCAAATATATTTTGCTTAATAACAAAAACAAAAATACTCGGTATGTATTGTTTTAAAATTATATATTTATATAAATACTACAATTATTTGAAAAACATGAATTGATCAATTATTTGTACAATGTAAATCTGACTTTGGGATTGTCGCCCGATCAAACCGATACAATAACAAAACTGAACAAAATAATATGGTTATGGTTGCTGAATAAAACGTGTAAGTACTTTTACTTTTATTTAATTTTAGTTAAACATGTTAAATTTAAAATTAAGCAAAGATATTTTGATGTTTTAACATGTGTTTAGCAGGTTCTGTTCGTAATAAATTTATAATATCTATTTGGAATAGCGTTGTTTGTATAAAGGTAAATAGTACAATTTACTGTCCAATTTATGCTGTAAATTTTAAGAACACATTTAATTTCCTTCCGATATTAAGCAAGGAAGTAAATGATGCCGCATAAACTTCATTCCACTTGCGAAAAACCATTTATAGTTTACAAGACTGTAAATTGGCTTTACCTTTGGTACCCTTGAAAGCTAAATTAACAGTAAAGAGTAATACTAAAGTAATATTGTTATCATGCCGTCTGACAAATTACCAGTGAAAAGAAAGTTACATTCGATTAAAATTTCATCCAATAAAATATAATTATTACCTAAAAAACAATGATAAGATCTTGGATTTTTAAATCAAACCAGTGAATGGTTAGCTCCAAGGAAGAAAAAAATCTATTTTATAATTAGAAAACAGCAAAGTAAAATTTGCGAATCAAAGCAGGACCTCAAAGCTTGATCCCGCAGACATCTGTTTTTTTTAAAAGTACTACATCTAATTAAAAAAGATATTATTCATTATAAAATATTATAATGAAAGTATAAAAATGTGACAATGTCTAAAAGAAAAAAGAGATTCAAAATGATATGAAGTTAAAATACTACTTTGAAGTTTTTCTGTTTCAGATTATATGGATGGTTCTCCTTCATGTGTTTTGTTACCTACCCAAGTTTACAGAAAGTTTTAGTTGTTTTATTAAAATATTGTTTATTTAGAAAATGTATTATAAATTAGTTTTAATGATATAATAGATAATACAATTATTTTATATTACATTATTTTACCCTTCCTAAAATTATAGGTCATAAAATTTTACATTTTGATTGGCATTTTGTTACATCTGTGTTGTAAGAAATGCCAATAAAAATGCAAAATTTTAGTTATACTAATTAAAGTAGAGCTACAAGCAAAATCCCGCTAATTTTTAAATAAAATAAAATATGCAGGTATATATATTACCGACTGAGAAATAGTTGGACAAATCCCTCCCATTTGGCGCTGATAGCAAACATGTTGCCACATTTATATAAAGAAACGGCAACTCTTAATTATCCTTCCTCCATGGTTCTTACCTACTATAGTGTACACTCACATGAAGAATCTTAATCCTTCATACTACAACGTATGTCTGGCGGTCTCAGGTTCTCACACTATACTCTTATCCTATTAACTGAATACAAACATTTGTTATTAATTCTAAAAACTTTGTGCAATGTATCCATACTTTTTTCCATTAATTGGCATAATATTAATATTATTTTCAGTGAATCATTAATTTTGGAAATGCTCCGTCTGGAAGACTTTAAATTAATAGCATTTTTGTAATTTTGTTAAATTATCCAATTTTTACACTGACTTTTATTTGCGCTAATAAGCTATATAAAGAAAATGCTTTTTTTAAATATCTGCAAAAATTTGGACTGCATTATTTATGATTCTATTCTATTTTTTTTATAATTCCTTGGCCAGTCAAATTGAAAAATTATAAATTACTAATACAGGATTTAAACATGTAGATTTATTTGGTAAATTCGTGGACAATATAGTATACTGGAAATAAATCGGGTATGGTTACTCTGATAAAATTACTGCTTTGACTGGAATTTACATTTTTTTTGTGCAAGCCTGGATATCGTTGAGATAATTCAATATGGCTGGTCTTTATTTGTTAAAACTAATATATTCCGAGTTATTTCTTACCTATTAAATTTTATTATTTCAGAACGTGTTTTCACATTAGAAGAAATGCAAAACATCATGGTCACGGCATTGGTGGACCCTCGCCACCAATACCCACTTTACCCTCGACTTATAGTGTCCACGATTTCCATTCTTATGGATACCATGGCACAGGTAATTACAAAATTTCATATAAATTTGCTTCGATGAATATACCTATGTCATTTATTTTACAGGTATTACCCCAGGCCTGCATTTTCATTTGGCAGCTTCGGTAAATGCTGAAACTGACATACCTCTGGTTCCGAGCATTAGCTACTGCAATCCCAAACCTGCTTTTGTCCTTCATTGGTTGGATAATAAAGAAATGCAATTCAGTCTTCAGGCTGAACTATTTTTAGAAGAATTTGCAAGGTAAATTATTTCAAATAATACACAGTGATACTTTTTTTTGTTAATTAAATAAATTTGTTAATTTATGTTTAAAACAATCCATTTTTAGACCGGTTGTCGATAATCCAGAATCTGAAGACTCAGAAGAACCTTTGATGGATTCCGGCGGTTCAGATGGAGTTGATGCAAGAATAGAAAACTTTTTGAGAGATTGGCACCATAGTCCGGATTTGCTTTTCAGCATACACCCAGTAGATGGGAGCTTCTTGATCTGGTAAGATAGTAATTTTCTGTAAATATGTGTCTCTGAATTCTTAAAAACGAATTATGTTTGTAGAAAATTTCAAGGCTGTCTAATTTGGATATGCAGGGTGATATTGAAGTATATGTAGATATTAAAACAGGGATGCAATAAATAAAATGAACAGTAGTAAAAAAACTCTTGACATAACGGAAATATCGGATAAGGATGACAATCAAATAAAATATAAAACGCATATAGCAAATATATTCAATGCATATTTTACAAATGTTGGTCAGACATATGCTAACCGAATTATAAAGCCAAACACGCTAAGTCCGTGTCGCCTTTTCAATATCCACAATCTTTTTCTGGAACCTGTGACAGAAAATGAAATAAAAAATATAATTTATACCCTAAAATCTAACAAAGCCCCCGGTCCAGACAATATAAAAGTGGACACTATTAAATATATTGTTGATGAAATAAAATTACCACTAACTATAATAATTAATAAAAATTTTGAAACGGGTATATGTCCTTCCCACTTCAAACAATCCGTAGTTGTACCTATTTATAAAAAAGGTGATCAAAAGAATGTAACGAACTTTAGGCCTATTTCTTTAATAAATTGCTTTGCAAAAATGTTTGAAACAGCTCTAAATGCAAGGATACAAAAATTCATAAATAAGTACAATTTAATTTCAGATAAACAGTACGGTTTTAGAACGGGCGTTTCAACAATAGATGCAGTAGCTGATTTAACATCAAAAATTTACAACTTAATAGATAGCTGTATTCCTTGACTTAGCTAAGGCATTTGACACGGTATCGCATGATCAGCTATTAGATACCTTGGAAGACATAGGAATTAGAGGCACACCATACAGGGTAATGAAAAACTATCTTCATCAACGCACTCAAAAAGTAAAAATAAACGAAAGGCATTATTAGAGAATTAATAAATAATTTTTTTTTCTCTCCTGGGCTCGTCTGACTATGTCTGACTATGTGGCTGATTTTCGACAGCTCTTTCATTGTTCGTTTTTGCACATTGCCTGAAATACCGAGGAATGTATTCCTATAGCATAGCTATGGTTAGTATCAGGGTTTTTGGAGAATACTCCTGCCCCAGTGCCTTCCGCTGTGCCATACCCGTCTGTATACCAGGTTTGTTCCTGTCGTTGGGCATTGGGCTCCCTTATGGTGATCTCCGCTTAATAAATAATTAAATAACAATGTATAAAACACTATGGCATTCATAAAAAAAATCATGATTTAAAAGTTTTTAAATATTAGTCATATTAGTCATATATTATATAGGGAATTAATTAATAAATAAATAACATTATAAACTAACTAAACAAAACAAAATTTGTATTTTTCATGTTAGTGCATTTTCTATTTTTGTTTATTGGCTTTTTGCCATTTTTCTTTTGTATTTTATGTATTTTTATTCTATTTTTGTGTATTTTACGGTATTTTAATATTTTTTTCTATTTTTGTGTATTTTGTGCATTTTTATTCCATTTGTATACAGGGTGTCCCAAAATGAGACGGTCATATTGTAACAGTGTAATCTACATCCTAAAATAGGAGTAAAAGTTCATATAAACATAGATCCAAAAACGTTTCGTTTTCGAAATACAGGGTGTTACAAGTAAAGTCCTGATGGCACATTTTTGTAAATATTTTTTAAAATTTCTTTAGTTATCGGTTTTCCAAAGTTAAAAAAAATAAAATTTCTGATTCCATTATTGTTTACACTTTGGAATAAGATAACATCAACTTATCATAAAATTTTCAAATGCTTTTCTCTTGAAAATGGTGCGTCCTAGCAAGATGCAACAAGAGTAGCTTTATTATAAAGAAAACATTGGTTTTCCAAATTTTATAGTCAAAAATGTTAAAATGTTAAAAACTATCAACAAAAAAAACTTAGGCCAATTTTACCCTAAGCCCTTCCTAATTTACCCACCTATGAAGATTATTAAAAACTGAAGTTTAGTGCATTAAATAGAGCGTAAAAAGGTAAGCATGTGTACCAAATTTCACTTATTTATCTTTAAATGTTTAGAAAATATTTACAAAAGTATGGCATCAGGACTTCACTTTTAACACCCTGTATCTCGGAAAAGAAACGTTTTCGGACCTATGTTTACATAAACTTTTACTCCTATTTTAGGATGTAAATTACGCTGTTAAAATATGACCGTCTAATTTCGGGACATCCTGTATATTTGTATTTTTTGTTACTTCTTCACATGTAAGATATAAATGAACAAGAGCTAAGTCCCGTGCGCAACCTTTTTAGGTTTTTATGGGTTACCCTCATGTTTGTTTTACTTAAGAAGGTATATGTTAATGCAAATTTTATAAAAAAAAAATGTATAAGTAAAAATAAACATTATTATTAAAACAGATTAATATTTAGGCTTTCTTAGGATATGCAAAAATATATTTTGAAAAAATACCAGTAATTGGAGTAATTAAATTTTGAAAATTTATGTTACATATGCCACTAATGTTGGCATAGGTCATCTACAAAATCTAGGGCACCTAAGGTCATCGACCCCGAATACCTGAGCCACTGTCTATATGCAATTTTTATCTTGACATTCTAGTTGGAAACTACTTAATAACTATATAATATATGTTTATATAATTTGGTTTAACAAACAAGTGTAGAATAATGGTTGAAAAATGGTCGAAACCTGTATATGATTTTTAATTTTGATCATAACAGATTACATAACAAAAATATTATTTTAGATAATTTTTCTTGTTGTTAGGGTGGTAGAGTGGCTAGACGAGTTCCATCCAGGATCTTTCCGGCAAGCTCAAGTGTCATTTTCCACTCGAATCCCGTCCGCTTTCCCGTTGGGCGACTCGATGAGTATGTCGACGACAGTCAGTCTTTACAACACCACCCCGTTGCTGAAACATCTGGTGAAAGAAGCTCTTCATAAGGAATGCTTTAACAATAGAGACCTAAGCAGCGTCAAGGAAGAAGACGAAAATAAGTCGCAGAAAGATGTAAGAAAATTTTGATGTTTACTAGGCCTCATAAAATATTTAGTTTAATGGTTGCTGATTGAATATTACTGGTTAATTGACAAAATGCATTAAAATGTTTTATAGATAATTTAATTACCTTCAATTTTGAATATTGCCATTTTTATTGTAATATTAATGGGAAACGAGTTATTTAATAAAAATTACACATTTAAAGCTAGTCAAATAATCACGTAGTAACATTACTTATTAACTTGTGTTAGTACCATTTAGAGAAGTATATTTTTAACCCATTTATTTGTAGATTCCGTTACCAAATGTTGAAGAGCAGCAAGAGGCTGCACCGGTGGTATCGTTGGTGACCAAACACGATAACGGCACGTTGAACCTTTGGCAAATAACCTTTGCCGATAAGAGTAAATTTAGCCAAGTTCTTAGCATAGGACACAAGAGCAGGGCGTCTGGCCATAGGTTTAGAGTCAACGACATAACATGCCACCCAGTGTTGCCATTACTGTTGACCACCAGCCATCACAATATCATAGACAAGTCTCAGGTTAATAACAAAACTGTAAGTGTAAAAGATCATACCTATAAAATTATGTGTTTTTTCTTAGTGATGGTTTCCACTGAAATTTTCTTTAGAGCCACTGTTCTTCCAACATTCTTAATAATACCCGAAAAATAGAAAATAAAAGGAGCGTTTTATGTATTGATATGGAAATCACAAATTTAATAAATTTATAAAAACTTACCTAAGACTCAAAAAGGGGTGTTTCATTTTCTAAAAATGTACATCATAATAAATATCAAATTTTAAATTAACACAAATAAAATAAATTTCCGAGTTTCTTTTCCCTCTTCTATCTTTTCTGCTCATCTGCTCACTCTTGCTATCCTCTGTTCTACTCTGTTCTTTCTTTGATGTTTAGTCTCTCGACCCACCCTGTCTTTCAATTTCTTTAATACAATTTCCTTTTATATTCTTTTATGTTTATTTTATTTAACACTTCAATTCGACAGTAAAACATTTAACGTTCCATCCGATCTTATAATCTCCAAAATTTCTACTTTTATTTTTTATGGGCTCATTTTCAAATTTTTACTTTTTTTTAGTCGATACAGAATTCAATCAAATCAGTGAGCAAAAAATCCAAAAGATTTTTTAAATGGTAATAAGTAACCACAAATTTAAAATGTTTTGCAGAAAAACCTTCTAACTCGAATATTTTAAAATATACTGCCTGATGAGTCCTAGCAATTTGCATTTGCATAGTTCCTTGTAAAATGATTGCATGGAGACAAATGTCTTACTAACTAATTTTGAATATTCAATAATTTAAAATTACTTCTATAAAAGTTACCAAAACTACATAAAAAATCATACATTTAAAAATCAAAGAAATTCTAATTTACTTAACATGTGCAGTCTTTTTTTTGGGGGGGGGGGGGGGGGGCAAATGCGTTTACGTATACCCGGGTAGTATGGGACTCGCTGTGGACTCACTAAAAATCTAATTCTCTCGTCATCCATCATCCTTTTATCGCCTTTGGGCATTCGGTCTGTCTAGTCGTTTACTGTTTCATCGATATTCTTTATCTTCATTATATTTTCTATCATTCTTCTAATTGTTTCCCATTTCTCAGGATCTTTTATCACTTGATTCGTCATGTTGTTGCTTTTCAGTTCAGTTCAGTTCTTATCGCGTCATTAGTGTTCTCTATCAGATCTTGCCTGTCATTTCAACTAGCCAGTATGATTAGATCGTCCTCATAGACCAAGGTTGCCACACTCTCGGACTACTGTATCCTTAACACTCTATCATAAAACATGTTCAGTACAGATCCCTGTGGTACTTCCATCGTTGTTTCGATTTCCGTGCCCTTATCGATTAATATGTATCTTTGATGTAGATATTGCTCTATAATAACATGAGCAACCTAATTCCTACTAATTTACTCATCTTATCAACGATAAGACAAAATATGAATATTCTGATAAAATTAGATGAAGATTATATGTAGAGGTATAGAAAAATTGAACATTCGAACCCTTGCTTCAATAGTCGACGACTTATCCATTAGACCACTTTCGATCAAAGGTGTATATACTTCATTCAATCATTTGACAACGAACTACGCAATTTTTTGGGATGGTTAAAAATGAAGTCTCTGCTTTCGGCAGAGTTTCGCACACAAACCAAGATTTCAAGGCAGTGTTGCCTCGTCGATCAGGAGCGGATTATTATAGAATATTGCTCCATCTATTGAACTCAACTCAAAAATAGTTATTGTTACGAATACTGGAGTGGCTTAATAATCTTCTACAAATTTATTCTATCAATTAATTGCAGTCTCCTTTGAATTCATTCTGGATCTCAAGACCTCATTCATAATCCATAAAGTATTTAGTTACCTTAAACTTTACTTTCAGGGTTTCTGTAGCGAATTGATATTATGGAAAGTAGACGCAGTCGGTCCTCTGTCAAAATCAGGAGGTATATGCGAGTTGGCTAGAATAAGTTCGCCGGAACCTTCGGCTTTCAGTAACGTCGCTTGGATACCGACCCTGCTTCCTTCCAGCACACTAGGCAACCTTTCGAATTCGCCTAGCGCTTGCTTCGTGGCTTCAGATGGCCAATGTTTGAGAGTATATCAAGCCGTCATCGATGCTAGAACTCTTCTCGCCGATTTATCGTTCAAAGAAAATAGGAAAAATGAAGAAGAGGATGAAAGCGTGTCTGGTTTGTCATCTTATAATCAAGAAAGCATTTTGGATAATATTAATATTGTTTCACAACAAAGCACTTCGAGACCAGGATGTATTATACAGTTGGAAACTATTTCAGAGGCTATCAAATGGCAAAATACCACTTTCTTACATGTTTACCAGGAACAGTTGATTACAGGTAAGTTTCTACTGTTTCTAACATAAAATAATTGTTCTTTAATTTTTTATGCCAAATTATATAATATATAATTCGATAAAAATAGATTACCTAATTGATGATTTATTTTTCGCTATTAAATGTACACTGCTAAGGAAAAGGGACTTTATCTTCATACAGCTAATTTTACAGGAGAGCAAAAAATGTTGGGTCTCATCCAGAAAAAGACTTGCACTCGTAAGTGGTCATTAGTTTTGTTTGTTTTTTTACTTATAACTAATAAAATGATTTAAATTTGTTTCACAGTAACATCTTTATGTTCATTTATTAATTTGAAAAACTTTAAAAGGCTAGTGTTTGCATAAAACATCCCATCATCCTGTTTTCTGAATGGCTACAAAACTATTTGGATCAGCGCAGACGCTAATTTAGTACGGTACCTTGATGGTAAAAAAGATACCTAGGAATTGGAGTGCTACCGAACTGTTACTTTAGTTTGGCTATTGCGAAGTTAAATGTCCCAAACCCGCCAGATTTGTGTATAGTAGACACGGAAATCGGCTATAAGATCTAAGTAAATCTAACCTCTGAAAACATTGTTTGCCTAAGCAGTCATTAAACCATCTTAAAACTAACCATCTAACACCCGTTAATATAAAAGAAGATTTATAGAAGTGTATTCCAAATTTATTATAATCATTCTCTAAAGTTGTTTACATGCTCCTTTGGATATTACTTAAAATTATATAAACCAGTTTTTTCTTTCTTCAGTGAATCTTTTGTATTGTTTGAGAAAATGTCTTACATTGTGTAAATATACAACAAAGGTTTAGTATCTTACATTCACAAAAAATAAAGATGAAAAGCCCTTTGTCGCTTGAAATTTCATGAGCACAAAATTTGTAAAAAAATGTTCGATCAGGGAAAATAACTATTCGTTTTAAATAGTAAAAAAATGTTAAATTCTAATAAAGAACAGACTATTAAGTAGGAAACACTTTTATCGATTTTTCCCTAGATCTGAAAAAAAGGCAAATAGATAAATGGCAACGTCGCAATATACCCTTAAAAACACTGTAGGGTAAGGTTGGCAACACTATTGACAGATGAAAGGAGACGTCATGTGTGAAACATCTTCTAGTTTCTCGTGAAGTGGAAGCTTAGACTAGGTAATAAAGAGAGGACTCATAACGTCGCTGAAAATCTTGTGCCATTTTGACACCAACGATATTTAACCAAAGGCGTAACATGTTGGAAATAAAATAACGAACTGGTATTTATGTTATTAGTTCTTCATTGATCTTTATAGGTATAAAGCAAGTTCAAAGCGTAAAAATTAAAATAAATAAGTAACAATAAATAAGACACAAGAAAAAATATATTGAAATAAACTAAATGAAATCGTTTACATAATAAAATTAGTGTTTTTTTTAACTTCCGCAAAATAAAACAATGATCTACATGTATTACAAAAAAGATTTATTTTTACTTAATAAAGAATGACACTACCCAGATAGCACAGACACGTTTTAAAGATCTTAAATAAGTTTGTTCACGACGTTCGTGACGTTTTGAATATCTACGCGAATATCCAAAAGATGTTTTAAAGGCGTCTATAGGACGTACTTTGTTACAACACAAACCGTCTTTAGGACATCTAATTTTGTACGTCTTTAAGACATCCAGTTTTGTACGTCTTGAAGACAAACCGTATTGGACGTGTTTAAGTCGTCTATTTACTTGATGGAAATTCATAAAAAAAAAAAAAAAAATGAATACTTGTCTACTATATTTAATACTGTTTATTAGACATTATTAAACTATTAAAACTGACACAGAGTAAATATTATTTTACAGTGTTGGATAATATAATTAAAAAATGACTTCAAGACTTGTTGCTATAAGAAACTATTCCAGTTTGGTCGATTTAAAAATTTCTTTTATGGTATTAATTTTAGCCGAAGTGTTTGTAACTAATGTCTCCGTAGCATATAATTTTGTTGAGTTATTGTGTTGTCTTTTTCTAAAAAATAAGACATTATTAAAGTGAGGTTATGAAATTAAAAGGGAAATAAATTAAAACACCGTTTTTAATGATAAAGTTTACTAGTTCCGGTATACCACAGTTCCAATAATGGCAAATAAATAATGTAAAAAGACAATATATAAAAACACACAACCACGAAAAAGTAATGACAATGTCCATAGACTGACTCTAAAAATATACAATGGCTGTCCAGAGAAGAAGGCAGCTAGAGGAAGAATACGACTCGATACGCGCGCGCGAGACTCCAATCAGCCAATGACAATGACGAATGACGATCTACATGCGCTGCAGGAAGCGCCAAGAATGCTGTCGTGGCGCCATATTCAAATATAGTGAAAAGAGTCCACATAACCGACAAACATCCCAACAAAGACGTTTTAAACATATTCTGAGCAGGGCGTCTTTAAACCGTCCGTTTTACGTACCAGGACGTTTGGACGAAAGTAAGACATGAACTGGACGTCTTTAAGATATAGTGTGCTCTCTAGACATTATTAAAATAAGCTAGTAAGAAAAATTATACATAAATGAAGATAAATTTATTACTGGCCCTTACTAATACTAATTTAGTACAATAACAAGGAGTTTTAGCGAACAACACTTTTTTTTATATCTTTTAAGTTTTTGTTTAAGAACTTTAATTTGTTTTGTTTTTTTCCTTATTCTTTTCTACCTGTTGTAAAAGTTGTCTTTCAAGCCGTTTTATGCTAGGGTTTTCTAGGATAGATTCCTTATTTGAAGTTCTATTTGAAGGGACTGGCTCAGCTTCCAAATGCAATGCTTTTATTTTTAAGTACTACAAACAATCAATTATTACGGTAATGTTTTGAATTATACACAAAAGGGTTGTTAAATTATTATAAGTTCATAACATAATAATGTAAAGAAATTAAAAAAATATATATGTTTAATTAGGTTTATTAGTATATGCACCTTCTTCGGCTGCATGTAATTAGAGAATTCAGGAAATATAGTGGGAATTGCTCCATTTAGTAAACGTCATAAAAAAATGTCTTTCAAAATGTTTTGAATACTATCTATCATTTGGCGTAGGCATCCAATTTGCTATTTTCGTTGCTTGAATCCAAAGATTGTTTTCGCTGGATCCACAGGAAATCTAAAATAAAACAACAAATAAACATTGCTGCAATTAAATAAGAAGCAAAAGTAAATTAGGATTTAATAAAAGTTAATATTTAGAATTGTATGACACACCACTGGAAAAAATTACATGTTTGGTCATTTTTATATCATTAATTGCTTAAATATCAATGAAAAATATAAAATAAACAAACTTGGTGGGTAAAATTTATTACTCTGGAGTAAGACATGTACAATATGTAAATACCAAGTTGTATAACACCAAATAAAATGAAAAATATAAGAAAATATATAAAGTGAAAACGATTGATGTTTATCATTTACCTGTAAAACGTAATATCTGCTTATTTCTTGCCGCTATAACTTTAACACTGATATGCCACACAATAAACCATTGTAATACACCAATTATTAAATGTCGTTTAATTCAAAAATCAGAAATAAACAAAAACTTTGGTGTCACCGAAATGATTAGCACCAAAATAATGGCGGCCAATAGATAATCGGCACAGAATACTAGGTGTGCTCGATATACTTGTTACGCGTCCTCTTTTTATTACCTAGTTTAAGAGTGGAAGTCGTGGGTGGCGCTAGGCCAGTTTTGATAAGGCAGTTTGCTCTGTGAACCTAGAGTGCACTCAAAGTAGTCTCAGTGGAGTAAATTAAATTCTAGGCGGTCACTTAAAAATGGGTTGAGAGCAACTGGAAGTTTATAAAAAAAAAATATTTATTTAAAACGTAATTACGAAACCCAAGTAATTTTGAGTCTTTATTTACAATCAGTTGCACAAAAATAAAAAAAATATAAACCAATAATTACAGATATTCCCAATAAGCGGTGAAAACCTTTAAGTAAATTAGCAGTATACCTAATTAACTTAAGCTAAATGTTTACCAAATTAAAGTTTAGTGGAAACAAAATAAAAAAATAAATCAATACATACGGTTATACCCACGGTATTCTTAATAAGCGATGAAAACATCAATATTTCTAATCAGCGGTGTGAACCTCGCAAGTCAATTAACAGTATAATCAACATGATGAAAATGTTTACAAAATGAAAGCTTAGTGGAATAAAATAAATAGAAATAAATACTCAATACGCATACATCCACTGTATTTCTAATCAAAGTTAATTAACGGAACTAAAATATTTACAAAATCATTAGTTTGAATTCAATTATTGTCATTCTAATGTCCTAATTATTTCAATCGGCATTACTATCAAAAAGCAAAATTTTTTCGCGATAAATTCAGAAAAAGATTGCAACATCGGTCAACTCGAGCGGTGTTAGCCCATGGATTATGGTCAGATTTTCTGAAAAGAATTGTAAAAGAAACTCGAGTACTTTTTTTGTTGGTTCCCGTTTTAAAGATTTTCATGGGAATGCGGTTGATACGGTGACGTGTAAGAGGATAACGTTGTCTCGTGGTAGAAGGTCTGGAGTGAATTAAAGATTCAGTGATTAACAGAGTAGTGAAGGGCCTATCGACTCGGGACACTTTGGATGTTGAGAAATTTAGTCATTGAAACGAGACTGTGAGTTCACTGGCTCTGCTTCTCATACGGACCTTCAGAAATCCCAAAACGCTACACTATACAGAACTAGGAAATATTAATTTTCTTGGGCTATAAAAATGATTTCTGTCTTAATATTAAAAACGCGGAACGGCGACCAATAATTGGTTTCTACCAAACTCATACATTTTAAATATTAATAATATTCTGCCTTTACTTGATAAAAATCCATAATTAATACTAGGAAAAACAAAACTACGGTAGAATTTCACAAAAATCATTTTATTTAGGCATAAACATGACATATCTGATGAAGAAGTTGTTCTGGGTCTTCAACTCAGATAAACAAAAAA